CATACTCAACCCTAACCACCTTCACCTGGACCCCCTGCAGATTCCCATTGCCCCTGTGCATCCAAATCGTCCCGGACTCCCCACTGAGCCACCTGCACCCAGATTGCCCCACATAGAACCCTCTCACCCCACACCTGGATCCTCCCCACACTTGGATCCTGCTGGGCTGAACCTGCCTGCCCACACCTGGTGTGCCTGGTGCAGAGAGCCAGGGCCCTGGGGTGTTTCTGGGGCAGGCCTGGCTCTTGCACTGTCAGGTGCAGCCTCACTGCTGAGTCTGTTTCGGGGGAGAGCAGGGAGCTGCAGGGTGATCTCCCACCTCCATGCAGCCAGTGGCCTGTGCTCCCCACTGCCATGCTGGAGCCTCCACATTTATTTATTGACAAAATTTGCAGAATTTTTATTTTTTTGGCGCAGATTTTTTTTGGCACAGAATTCCCTCAAGAGTCAACAGTATAGTGGGGCCAGCACCCTTAATGCCTTGGGAAGCTCTGTGACCCTTTGTATTTGGAGGTGTTTTATAATCTGTTTCTTCTTGGACTTTTCATAAGACACTGTTAATATAGTCACTGGAATTTGGGTGGTCTCTTTTTTTTTCTGCTGTGATTCATGGAATTCTCATGAAAAGGCCATTCTGCCCTTGTCTTAATGGTTCTTATGTAGCTAGAACTATTGTTCAATAACTTATTTCATTTCATACATAGAAGATGTGATATTTTGTTCACTAGGCAAAGGAATATCTCAGGCACTTTTTTCCAAGGTTCTCCTATAATGGCATGATTGACATGAGTAATCTTGTATAATAGAATGGATGAGATGTAGATTACGGCAGCAAAACCAAGAACTATTGAAATAAACCACTTGTTAAGCTATAAATAACATACTTTTAGTATTCATAGGGAAAGATGCCCCTCCCCTACTCATTTACAGATTTCTGGAATGGAACATTTTAATTGATGTCCAAACAGTAACTCTGAAAGAATCTCATGCTGTTGGGCAGCCTTACCATATCAGTTTGTAGTACAGAGTCGTGCCTTCTTATTGGGCAAAGCATTTTAAAAATGTTTCTGGAGTTTTATTTGCAGCTGATATAAAAGTGTAGAACTAACTGTTCTAGTGGAGACAGATGCAGAGAGAACACACTATTGGTTTTAGTTTTCTGCGGTATGTGTTCTGTTGAAAGAGAAAAGTCTGGCAAAGGGTACAGGTTAGAATGAATGTTCACATTCTGCTTATTGTGACTTGTTCTTTCCCTCTCTTGCTAACACTAACTTATTTGATGTGATTATTTTTGGCTTGTTTTAGTCCTCCTTTTTGTTGTGATTTATGCTCTAGTTCATAATTCATGCTTGGTGTTGACACTCTCTTAGTGCAACATTAACGAACAAACAAAAATCTCATCCTATAATGTCACTTTGGATTTAGCTATATACCTCTTGCCTCTCTCTCTCTCAGAGCATTTTTCATTCATTGCTAAATCCACACTAGATTCTCATTTACATCTAAAAGAATAAAAAATGGGTAAGTAGACATTTTTATTTTCAGTTCCCTTCATGAGAAGGGGATGTTACAAGTTTTGATCCTTAAAATATTGGCTATCTCTCTTACTTAATTCAAATCTAAAGCGAGTAAAAATAATTTCAGGTGCTTGTTTTAAGTATTTTTCTTTTTTTATGTTGAAAAAGGAATCTGTGCTTATCCAATGACATTTTTAATCTACATGCGATTTTTATCTACATAAAATGTTTTGAAACAGTTTTCATTAATACTCAGTGTTATAATAATAACCAGTGGTCCCAACTAGGACTGGGGCACCATTGTGCCATACACTGTATGATTATAGAAGCAGGCATGATCCCTGATCTGAAGGGTGTAATTTTTTGAGTCCTATCTGAAGGTATTTATTTTTTTGGGTGTAAAGTTCTCTTTCCAAATACTGTAGAAATATTTAGTTGCATTACCTTGGTCATGTGGTTGCTATTCTTGGAGCATATACTAGTAATTTTTTAATGAAAATTACAGCAATATGTTTTCTCTGAACTTCACTATGAATAAGGACCATCTGACGTTGAACAGATACTTTATTTTGTTATATTTGCTCTCATAGGGCTAGATCCTACGCCTATTGAAGTCAGTGACAAAGCTCCCATTTACTTTAGGGCAGGATTAAGCCATAATTCAAATTCAGAAAGTCTAAACTGCATCTTTCTGTGAAAATGTTTTGACAGCCTATATGCGTATCTTTTTTTAGTCTAGTCTGGTAACTTTATTTGCTATGTAATTATATACAAATAGTAAAATCCAGAAAGCTGTAAATCTGAAAGGGGCATTGGCTACAGAAAGACACACACAGTTTGGGATGGGAATACTAACACATTTTGAATAGGTATTCAAACTTTACATTTATTTTAATTTCAAAAGAGACTTCAGATTAACCAGGGTTTTTTTTAATAGATTAGCAGTCCCTTAAGGCTCATCCTGTCAGTTTCCTTGTTTTTAAATTGTTCACTTCTTCCTAACCATTCTTAGGAAAGGCTAATAACATGAAATTATATCTTTCACATGCTCTTTTGTTACCACCACAGAGGGTACTCTAGATTTCATTAGAGCAATGAGATATTGGCTGTATAAGGCGCTTGTCTTAAATCAAGATATAACTTGAATTTTGCCTGCAACCTGTTTTACAGGTACACAGGCGAAGCTTGTATGCTTCAGAACAGTAAACAAAATTATAAGAAGAGATCCCATACTTCATCATAATGCAAAAGCTTGCTCAAGAAATAATTATCCTCACACCTTGATTTTTGCCTGTGCCATATATTTTCCACAATTTAATAAAGCACAATCTTTTGTCATAAATGAAAGGATAAGAATATTTCTCATCTTGAATGTGTATATGTAGTTAATATTCGTCATATTTTAAATAGTTGCAAATTATTACTTGATAAATGACAAGTGTAGGTGTAATAACTTGATCTTAGCTCTGAGTATTTAAAGGGTAGGGTTTAATGCAGTCTGAGGAATTGGCAAGGTCCAAATGTCTTGGTTAACTTTGACTGTTGATTCAGATTAGTTTCAGTCTCCACCTACAGATCAAACAAGGCGCTTGTAGCAATTATAAATCACTGGTAAAAAATGTAAAGTTGAGAAGGCCGTAGTATCTGTAGGTTTTACCCTGAAATTGTAATTTTTAAAAAATATTTATGTCCCTTGAATTCTTCTATCTTGTGCATATTCATTCTGAAATGTCTTTCATTGATTACATAATGCTGTCTGTAAAACAGAGCAGAATTTGTGCACAAATGTGGTGGTAGTTGAAAGCTTTTTTGGCTTTCTGATCATTCAAAAATGGCCAAACTAAAATGTTCAAATTCAGGGATGGGAGAAGAATCTTGCTGTAATCAGCCATACCAAATAGTTGACCAGGAGGAAGCTTTAGTTTATAAACAACCATTTAGTTGCAAATTCCTCTTACTTTCTATTTGCTGATCACATGTAATTGCTATGGGAATAGAAGTACACTTCAGTCAGAATGGTCAGTTGTAGTAAATTTCAGTAGTTTAAAAATGAAAAGTGCTGCTGCTAACAGTATCTACAGATTTGAATGCATCCAAATAATATGTAAAGGTTTTTAAGTTGTAAGAAATTAAATTTAAAAAGTTGTTTGTGTGCATGTTGAGAGAGGGGAGTAGTGTAATGTTTTTAAACGTTGTTAGTAGTCCTGATCACTGTATTTATATGCAGCATTTCTCCACACTCTGAATCCCATCTAACCATTCATGTCTTTCAAATGCCCTTTTTTGTAGCAGGGGAGAAAGATGTTCTTGTTCCATATTTCCTGTAAGCACTAGATAATGAGACTCTGATAAATCTGAACACCTACTTCCCTTATTCCCTTGACTTTATGGCTGCCTGACGGGAGTGGAAGCTTTCTTTTCCTTCTCTTCTTCCATTCCAGAGTCTCTTGACTGGGAGAAATGAGTGGTAATAGCTATTTTTATCACTAATTGGCTCTTGAAAGAGTAAGAATGTTCCCTCCTTTTCTAATCCTCACCCAGCTCCCTGGCTGCTGAGAGTGGTGGATCTCCATTATTCTGCCTTTCCCTCTAGTCTCTATTTTGAGTTGTCAGCCCTTGTGAACAGCAGTAGTGCTCACCACCCCTGCTACTCATAGGTTTGTCATGCCCCAGAGGGTGAAATTGGAATTCTCATATGCTCTCAACGTATTGGGAATTGCAGTAGTGAAACTGATAGCTTTCACAAGCAACAAAAGACTATGAGCAGCGACAGAAGCATTGAAGTGGCCTATCTGTAAACTCAGGAAGACAGTAGTGCACTGTTTTATGTTTAGCTCCCATTCAGAAGGAATTCTTCCTAATCATAAGAGCTAGGAACATAATTTCTTCTAAATTCTACATGACTGGACCTCCACGCAAGCCAGAGACAACTTTCTCTTCACAACTGTTTAGAGGGAGAGTGGATTTTCAAGCACTGAATTTTATATATTAACACGTCTTTCCTCTCTAACTGCCAGAATTTTTGCAGCACTTTCCTTTCAGCTTGGCAGATAGAAAATTCTCTTTCCCTAAGGCCAGTGTTGGTAATCATTTATCAGGTGGTTGGTAGAGAGTACTCCTATTGTATTTTTCTTCCCTTCAGTCAGAGATCAAAAACATCACTATCCTGATGAGCCTTGTTTTTGCTGGTAAGGAGGCAGGATTATGTGGGTCATTTATAAAATGCCATCTGTTCAATGCTATTTGTGGGAAGAGACTTTGAAGATATTTTTTATATATAACCTGGGAGTCCAGTTGCTTTGAACACTTAATTTTTTGCAAAAATCTCTCTACTCTTCCTCAATCATGTGCATACCATTTGGCTCTGGCTTATGCTTGTTGTTATCATTGGGGTACTGATTTTAAACAAATCATTCAAAGAACTATATTACATCTTCCTTGTCTTGTATTTAACACTTCTCTAACTTGTTTTTGTGTTCACAGATTTGTTTGTAAATGCATCACAAAGAGGCAGCCCAGAATGAAGAAAGCAAGCAGGTCTGTTGGCTCAGTGCCCAAAGTGCCCGGGATAAATAAAACAATAGAAAAAATCAAACCAGAAAACGGCTCCTCAGTGTCTGCAGTAACAAAACTCTCAAAAACTGGAACATCAACATCCCTGCTGAAGGTAAGCTCTAATAGCCTTGATTTTTTTTGGACAGTAAAGGATTTGGAAGGATAGAATTTTAGAATAAGTATATTGATGCAGTGGAAAACTGGGATTCATAATCTCTCAGTGACTGAAGAGAATTTCAGTAGTTACACAATGCAGGACAGAATGAGAGATTACTAATGCTGTGGTCATTAAATATTGCTGCTTTTGATGTGTTTATATGTACCATGGTGGAAGGCAATGCACTTTGTGAAACTTAACTTTCCTGACTTCTCTGTAAAAAGGGCAGAGTGGGAACTGAGCTGCCTTCCACTGGGCGTCATTAATTGCTCTCTCAGACAGGGAGTGTCATGTGTTGCTCTTGAATGACTTTCTTTGACTGTGGTGGTAGGATGTGATAAGCTCTGTGTCAAGATTAAAAATTCCATCTGAAATTTCTCAAGAGGGATACTTCAGTGGGGAATTGAGACGACTATATTACTTTTAAGAGACTGCCTGATTGGCATACTTAACGTTGGTGACTGGTGTCCGATCCATGCAGCCACACGGTTCCTGTAGTTTTCCATGCTTTCTCCATTTTGTGTCTGGAGTGGAGCTTCAGCCCAACTGGTGTGTGCTGCTCCTACCTTCCATCTTCTTATTTGTCTTGTAGGTTTCTCCTTACTCTCAGCATAACAAGGCACCAGGCTTTGGAGCATATGTGCCCATCACATTGCACCTTTTACGTCCCCTGGGCCCTTTAAAATTGAATGGTGTAGTCTCAGGGAACATCACTGGGAGCAAGCATGTGACTTACAGGAAGCCAGGTATAATATTTCCTGCCTCTTAGATGGGTGGCAGACAGACGAGACCCATGATCAGGGAGATCCATGTCCAAGGGTCTCCAATTAACCAGACAGGATTACCAAAATCAAAGTGTGTTCCTCTCCCCTACCAGCTGATAGAAATTAGAAAAGTCTTGGATAGATACTACCCGGAATTTTGTGGTGTTTGTTTTGGGACGTTGTTTTGACAATAAAATGACCCTTGAATACAGGGACGTGTGAAGTGCCTTGTACTTGGGACTTTATTTTCTCTCCCCAGCTGGTGAATCTGCACATTATCTTATGTTTAGAAATAGATTCCTGACAAAACATTGTTTGTATCTTGCATCCTGTTTAATACAAAACCATCATGCCATACGCAACCATTCTGAGTAGTGTCCAGTGTCATCGACAACTGTCCTTTTAAGAGCTGACTGGCATGTACTTCTGACTGTGGTGTGTAGCTTACTCATCAAGAGTTTCCAGCTGTCATACCTCTAATGAAAACAAAGAAGAGAATGATCTATCTATCTCTGAAAGGATTTGGCCTACTGTGTGTTTACAGTTTTCTCTTTTTATCAGTAGCACTTCAGGCAACTCAAGTGTACAATTTTAAAAAGTATTATGTCAATTACACGCATCTTAGGCACAGCAAGAAATTCCCTTCTTAACTAGTAACTGAGAGTTGTCGCACCTTAAGGGTTTTAGCTAGCTTTTAGTGACATAGTTGAGTGACTCATTCTTGTGCGGTTGTCATCATGCCAGCTGTGTGAAATAAAACTACGTACATCTTTCAAGTGTTCCCATATGTAGGAGAAGTTGGAAGGGTGTAGTTTGTAGACTTAGGCACGCTGGCAATTTATATGTCTGAGGGAGTTAAAATATCAGTAAGCAACTGCCATTTTAAAAGGAACGTATCTATGTAATTTTATCATTTATGGTGTTGTCTATGAAGCCTCTGGCATGCTGTCGTCTTCACGTAGAAAATGTCATCTAACCTTTACATTTATTGGAGTCTGCTGTATTTTTTTGTGAATGTTAATACAGATTCCCAGACAAAAGTTGTTTAGCTGGACTTAAGATTGAGAACGTATCAGTAATTTAAGTTAAAGTTAGGGCTGTCAAGCAATTAAAAAAATTAATCATGTGATTAAAAAAATTAATTGCAATTAATTGCACAGTTAAACAATAATAGAATACCATAGTTAAATATTTTTGGATGTTTTCTACATTTTCAAATATATTGATTTCAGTTACAACACAGAATACAAAGTGTACAGTGGTCACTTTATATTTATTTTTGATTACAAGTATTTGCACTGTAAAAACACAAAAGAAATAGAATTTTTCAGTTCACCTAATACAAGTACTGTAGTGCAATCTCTTTATCATGAAAGTTGAACTTACAAATGTAGAATTAAGTAAAAATAAAAACTGCATTCAAAAATTAAATTTACATTAAAAAACTGCATTGAAAAATTGCTCAGACAAACAAGTTTGTTTACATTTGCAAGAGATAATGCTGCCCGCTTCTTGTTTACAATGTCACCAGAAAGTGAGAACAGGCGTTCTCATGGCACTGTTGTAGCCGGTGTCGCAAGATATTTACGTACCAGATGCGCTAAAGAGTCATATGTCCCTTCATGCTTCAACCACCATTCCAGGGGACGTGCGTCCATGCTGATGACAGGTTCTGCTTGATAATAATCCAGAGCAGTTCGGGCGACGCATGTTCATTTTCATCATCTGAGTCAGATGCCACCAGCAGAAGGTTGATTTTCTTTTTTGATAGTTCGGGTTCTGTAGTTTCCGCATCGAAGTGTTGCTCTTTTATGACTTCTGAAAGCATGCTCCACACCTCGTCCCTCTCAGATTTTGGAAGGCACTTCAGATTCTTATCTCTTGGGCCGGGTGCTGTAGCTATCTTTGTGTTTTGTCAAATCTGCAGTGAAAGTGTTCTTAAAATGAGCATGTGCTGAGTCATCAACTGAGATTGCTATAACATAAAATATATGGCAGAATGCAGGTAAAACAGAGCAGGAGACATACAATTCTCCCCCCAAGGAGTTCAGTCATAAATGTGATTAACACATTGTTTTTTTAATGAGCGTCATCAGCATGGAATCATGTCCTCTAGAATGGTGGCCGGAGCACGAAGGGGATACGAATGTTTAGCATATCTGACGCATAAATTCCTTGCAATGCCAGCTACAAAAGTGCCATGTTCTCACTTTCTGGTGACATTGTAAATAAGAAGAGGGCAGCATTATCTCCTGTAAATGTAAACAAACTTGTTTGTCTTAGCGATTGGCTGAACAAGAAGTAGGACTGAGTGGACTTGTAGGCTCTGACGTTTTACATTGTTTTGTTTTTGAGTGCAGTTACGTAACAAAAAAAAAAATCTACATTTGTAAGTTTCACTTTCACAACAAAGATTACACTACAGTACTTGTATTTTTCAATTCACCTCATACTATTTCTTTTATCATTTTTACAATGCAAATATTTATAATAAAAATAATATACACTTTGATTTCAATTACAACACAGAATACAATATATATGAAAATGTAGAAAAACATCTGAAATATTTAATAAATTTGCATTGATATTTGATTGCTTAATTATGTGATTAAAACTGCGCTTAATCGCGATTAATTTTTTGAGTTAATTGCATGAATTAACTGCGATTAATCGACAGCTCTAGTTAAAATACCTAAATAGAGGTGATTTAATTTATTATACATCATTATATAAACCCAGAACACTCAGTTAAAGTTAAACTTAAAGAAATCCAAACATATTAAGGTTTGGAAATGCACAGTTAGGGCACTAAAACACCAACCTGTAGTGACACCATGTAATTAATCATACAATTATTATGGTTCATAATTTTTTTGGTTCCAGATCAGACTGAACTCGTTAAGCTGATATTTAATGACACACCTCACCCACCTTGTGTCTCAAATAGTGGATTGACTAATAGTGCATGTTATCTAAGCAACAATGTATTGAATGTGTTTTTAGATCTTAAAATATATTTTGTTTAAAAATATTCACTTGTAATAACAGCAGCTTTGATTAGTTAACATTTCCGGTCCTGCACTTCATATCCAGTCATGTTAATATTCTTTTCCCTTTTCAGACAAAAAGTAATGATGACCTTTTAGCGGGAATGGCTGGTGGTGGGGTGACTATGACCAATGGTGTGAAGGCAAAGAAGAGCACCTGCACATCCACAGTATCTTCAGCTTCAGGGACCACCATGAACAACCTGGAGAATAAGCCCAAGACTATTACAGGTACAAGGAGATATTAGTCTCAAAGGGTTGTTTCCTTGGCTTTTTTTTGTTCTGTTAGGAAACCATTGCAACTCTTCCATAGGCAGGGTCCAAAGCACCTAACGAAGAGCTCAGCAAAGGCCAGGCCAAATAGAGCACTCTGCCAATGACCCGTCTCACACAGTTTGTATTGATAATCCTTCTATTGCAAATCCTTACATATACTATTTTTTATATTGGTCATTTAGCTTTTTCTGTAGTGGTATTCTCTGGGACCAACAGCTAGTGTAGACTTATGCTGCTAAAATAATCCCTACTTTGGGCATTAAAGGTTTTAGGTACGGGATGAATATCTTCAATACTGGGTGTTGTGTTAAAATAGTAATCTCTACTGATGTACGTAATTAAGGAGAGAGAATTTTGTAAAGCCTTCAGGCAGGTGTGACATTCCGTAGTGTTTATCACAACACAATTAGTAGAAATGTGTTTGTTATCCAATTGCTAGTTTTGGGACTTAGTAAAGTTAATAAAATTGTAAGTCACCTTGCAGTAAAGAAGTGATGATCCTGCTCTCTGCTTCAGCATTTCTGAGTGAGAATGGTGAGAAATTGAATTTGATGGTGAGAATATTTAAATACTCTGATTTCATTCTTGGATCAGAATATACATGTTTATAAAAAGTACTCAAATGGGAACTGTGTTCCCACACCTAAAAGTGAAGATGTATCTATGATCTGTGAACTTAGAGAGAATATCAAGTATCTTACATATAGTTACTCTTCATTTTTTATACAATTTATTAGAAACTTTGGGGGAGAATCTCTTTTCCTCTTGCAAACAGTAGGTTTTTTAATCCTTATTTTGAGGAGGGGACGGGGGGGGGGAGCTTAACACATCTTTAGACACTATAAAGAATGTTTAAACCTTATTTGAGACTCTCATAAATAGACTGTACATATTTCATTTTCAAAAGAGTGGTTTAGAATGGCAGCCATTTTATAATCATAGCAAAATATATAGTCTTATGTATGTAATTTCATACATGTACTCACTTTGCTGATTCTTTTAAATGAATTAAAATTAAATTTTTAAAAACATACAGGTACGAGCTCCACAGCCAAGCGTAGCACTTCATCTGGAAATAAAGAATCTAGCTCTTCTAGGGAAAGAATACGCGATCGTTCCCGTCTGAACCAAAGCAAAAAACTGCCTTTGACAGGACAGGGGACTAATGATACCATTCTGGCAAAACGCTCCCGTAGTCGTACTAATCCAGAGTCTGATGTTCGGATGAGTAAATCCAAATCGGACAATCAAATCAGTGACAAAGCTGCTTTGGAAGCTAAAGTGAAAGATCTTCTGACTTTAGCAAAAACTAAAGATGTGGAGATTTTACACTTGAGGAATGAACTCAGAGATATGCGTGCTCAGCTGGGCCTTAATGAAGATCAGCATGAGGGTGATGAGAAGTCTGAGGAAAAAGAGGCCATTATTGTTCACCAGCCAACTGATGTAGAGTCTACATTATTAGTGTTACAAGAGCAAAACACTGCCATCCGAGAAGAGCTCAACCAATTGAAGAATGAGAATCGAATGTTGAAGGACAGATTAAATGCATTGGGCTTTTCTTTGGAACAAAGGCTAGACAACTCTGAGAAACTCTTTGGCTACCAATCTTTGAGCCCAGAGATCACAACTGGTAACCACAGTGATGGTGGTGGCACTCTTACATCTTCAGTGGAAGGTTCTGCTCCTGGTTCAATGGAAGATTTGTTGAGTCAGGACGAAAACACCTTAATGGACAATCAGCATAGTAACTCCATGGATAATTTAGACAGTGAGTGCAGTGAAGTTTATCAGCCACTTACATCAAGTGATGATGCCTTAGATGCTCCATCGTCTTCAGAGTCTGAAGGAGTACCAAGCATAGAAAGATCTAGGAAAGGAAGCAGTGGCAATGCAAGTGAAGTTTCTGTAGCTTGTCTGACAGAACGGATACACCAGATGGAAGAGAACCAGCATAGTACAGCTGAGGAGCTTCAAGCAACACTTCAGGAACTTGCAGACTTACAACAAATAACTCAAGAGCTGAACAGTGAGAATGAAAGACTTGGAGAAGAAAAAGTAATTCTTATGGAATCCTTGTGCCAGCAGAGTGACAAGTTAGAACACTTCAGCCGACAGATTGAATATTTTCGCTCCCTTTTAGATGAACATCACATCTCATATGTTATTGATGAAGATATGAAAAGTGGGAGGTATATGGAGTTAGAGCAACGTTATATGGACCTTGCTGAGAATGCTCGTTTTGAACGAGAGCAACTGCTGGGTGTCCAGCAGCATCTGAGCAACACTTTGAAGATGGCAGAGCAAGATAACAAGGAGGCCCAAGAAATTATAGGGGCACTGAAAGAACGGAACCACCACATGGAACGAATTATTGAGTCAGAGCAGAAAAGTAAGGCAGCATTAGCAGCCACCTTAGAGGAGTACAAAGCCACAGTAGCCAGTGACCAGATTGAGATGAACAGGCTAAAGGCTCAGCTGGAGCATGAAAAGCAAAAAGTGGCTGAACTGTACTCTATACACAACTCTGGAGATAAATCAGATATACAAGATTTGCTGGAGAGTGTCAGGCTGGACAAGGAAAAAGCAGAGACTTTGGCCAGCAGTCTGCAGGAAGAGCTGGCTCTCACTCGCAATGATGCCAATCGATTGCAGGATGCCATTGCTAAGGTAGTGTTCAAACAATTATCATTCTGTATCTTATACGTATAAGCCTCCAAGCCTCCCTCTACTTGTTCATTACAGTTTTTCAATTTGTTCCTTGGAGGTATGTGACCAGTTATGAGCTTTGCCAGAATGTGCCTGTATTCAAGATTTTTCTATTGGAACTCATGTTCAAAAAAAGTGTATCCTTTTATGAAGCTTTTTACACCTAAACTCAGTTGTACCGGTTTACTCGTATAAATGACATGTTTTTAAGGGGAAAAAACCTTAGTTGGAATTAAGCAAATCATTGGTTTTTAAATATTGCTATTGTGGGACATCCTTAAGCAGGTGTAAATAATTTATAGCTGATTTACCGAGGCGGTGCCTCATGTATTGTACTATAATATTCTTTCTCAATAATTGGCATAAAATGATGAAAAGATTAGCTCAGGGCTTAAACCTTGTTCTTGCAATCACGTTTGTGTGTCGGGGGGGGGGTTGGGGAATATTACTCTTTTTTGGCTGCTTCTCATTTCAGCTTGTGATTCAGTATTATTCTGTTACTGCTTCACTTGTCATGTGGTGGGATGCTTGGTAGATTCTGAAATAAATTCAGCTCAGAAATAAGAGCTTAACTGTGAAAGTGGTCCAACTTGATAGTTGCAGTGCAGCCAAAAGTTACATATCACACCTTGGTCCAGATATAGCAACTTCTAATAAATTCACATAGAGCTGCTCAATTCACATAACACTTCTTGATATTAAATTTAGTTCTTATGAGATTTTAAAAAATATTTTAAGGATGATGGCTGTGGCAGTGAAATGCAACCAATTTTTATTTTGAGTTCATCTTTGTCCTGAATTCATTATGGTCATGTAATGATTTTTCTTCAGGTTGAAGATGAATACAGAGTCTTCCAAGAAGAAGCCAAGAAGCAAATTGAGGATCTCAATTTGACTCTAGAAAAGCTTCGGGCAGAGCTGGAAGAAAAAGAGACTGAAAGAAGTGACATGAAAGAAACCATCTTCGAGTTGGAAGATGAAGTAGAGCAGCATCGAGCTGTGAAACTTCATGACAACCTCATCATATCTGACTTAGAGAGTAAGTGATATGAGTTCCTCTTGATGCATCATATTTTAACTTGAAAACAGCTGAAACAGGATAGTAAAAGTATTTTAATTGTGGTTTGCACATGTGTGATTTGAAATCAGAATAAACTTTCAGAAAGAAAGAATGAATCTTAGAAAGAATGCACTCAGCTTGACTTTGGGCTTGCAGGACTAGTAGTTGGGGATGGGGCCGGACACACATAAATTAAGAAAATATGAACTGGCAATCTTGAGAATAAATACGAAGCCTCAATGCCATTTTGAGTCAATTTTCAAGCAGAACTGCATGTAGTTATAGATTCAGATTATGGCATATTACCTGTGATACACCTCTACCCTGATATAACGCTGTCCTCGGGAGCCAAAAAATCTTACCGCGTTATAGGTGAAACCGTGTTATATCGAACTTGCTTTGATCCGCCGGAGCGCGCAGCCCTGCCCCCCCTCCCCCGGAGCGCTGCTTTACCGCGTTATATCCAAATTCGTGTTATATCGGTTCGCGTTATATCGGAGTAGAGGTGTATTTGATTTAATTCTGTCTGGGAGAACCCAAGTTGTCTTATCTCTCCAGTACAGCAAAGCTATATAAACTTCCAAAAGTTAAATATATCTACATCTGTGGATAATTTGGTTGTTCCTAGACCAAGAAAAGTCTCCCTGTTGAAGAAAATGTATTTTCAATGGAGAAATTGGACAGGGACCCTAAATAATTTTGCATATACTGTTGTCTTCGTGGTCACCATCCATGTGTACTTGCTCAAACTGTGAAACTGAAAATGAATTTGGCAGCTCTGGTTGGGGAATTTGGCAGCTCTGGTTGGGAAAACTCAAGCAGGTTGGGAAAACTTTCTATCCTGCTGTCTCTTAGCGTCCATTTCCTGAATAGCGTGGCTCAAGACTCACTTGAAGCATCCAGCAAAAATCATGCCTGCCAGTCTTGCCTAGTAGTTCAGTGGGCAGTGTGTCTGTCTGAAAATCAGAATATAGACTGTCATGGTTACAGAGCTGCACCTCTGTCCCTCTTCTGGTCTTCCACAGTGCATTGCCGCAAGTGTCAGGCTTCATGCCTTTTACATATCTTGGTATGGAAGTCAGCATTTGCCCCACTCTGAGTCCAAGCCCTGGGCTACAGTACCTTGTGGATTAACCATGCTTACCTAGCACATCTGACTGAGTTCAGAGACCTGCAATTCTTCCCTTTGGGAGCCTGTGACCAGTAGTATACAGTGACAAAACATCCTTCTTAGCATCAAAATATATTTTGCTTCAACAGTAGGGACAAAGCACTTAAAGAATAAGGATTTTAAAATCAACATTCTATATGCATGTCTGTCTTACCTAAAGACTTAGTCTTGCGAGTGTAACATCAGCAGGCATAACATCTTTAGATGCCCCGGCAGGTATCTTCATATCAGTCTACTTTCCCTGAACTGCCATAGTTTTTTATTCTTCTGTGTTCTTGGTCTTTGGTCTTTCTGGATTAAATCAGTCCAGTAGGCTTAGCAGAAGATCATGCCAGAGTTCTCGCAGCCAATGGCTCGGCTGTTGTCACTTAACGTCCCTGAAATATTTCCTTAGTGGTAGCTTATCTTGAGCCATTCTTTATTTTCCTTCTTGTTTTGTCTTTACAGTCCCGCATTAAGCAAAATCGTATGGTAAACACTCCAATAATCAGGTTAATATACAGTATCCATATAATATTACCAAGCAGTTCCAATTTTGTCACACAGACCTGTCTCAAAAGGGCTGTGTGCAGTCATGAGGCTGCATACCTCAATTCAGTAAGTTAGCAGACCTATATCTTACTAGGCTCAAAGCTCCATGAGAAATTCCATATCTTCTTTGATCTGTCGTCTAGATACTAATCTGTTGTAGTTGAATTTTATGGATAGTAATCTGATGTAATAGCTTCAGGAAGCAACATGTATTGTAAGTATAGGCAGGAAGGAGAGTGACACCTTGAGGTAGCTGTAAAGTGTGGTAACCAAATAATAGTATAATTAAAACTTGCCTTTTTGTTAATATTCTTCTCATAAATCAGTACCTTTAAAAACTCTCAACTCTTCATGGCTTCAAAACTAAAATTCTTACAGTAGTTCTTTGGTGTCACTGCTTCCCATAGAAAAAAAAGAGCAACACCTTGAAGAGGAGGAACAAATCTCTTTAGGACTTGTGCTCAGAGCACGGATCTAGAACCTAAAAAATTTAACAGAGATGGTATTAAAGTGATAGAAAAATGCATCACAACAGCAAATTCTCTAATACTGATAGATTAAGCAATTCCTTTGGCCTTGAATTAGTCTGAGATGCATGGCCAGATACATGGTGTCCATGTTAATGGTTTTTAAATGTAGAGAATTCTCCATTACATGTTTCTGTATATAGCACCATTCAGAAAAAGCATGGTTCTCCACATTAAAACAACTAAACCATAGTAAAGAGTAATAAGAAAGAAAAGTCTTTGGTTTAGAATTAAAAAATAGGATAGAGTGACTGCTGTAGCTCTTTCAGGAGAGAATGTGCTGAGTGTCGAGCTAACTGTAAATGAAGGGGATGATGTGAGAAGCAATAAATAGTGGCAGAATATTAATGAACAATTGGAGAATTCACAGAAACAAGTCCATAAAAGTAGGAGGGTGTACTTCATAACTGAAATTAGTAGTAAGACCTTGAAATGAATTCAGTTTAATGAGTAGCCAGAATAAATAATGGAGTGACATATGAGGAAGCTCAAATGCAGGAAGTTAGGTGTCATTGCTTTGAATAGCTTCTAGAGACTAGAAAGACGAAACTGGGAATATAGCAAGAAGTGTATTACAACAGTCTGGGCATGAAATTCAAGCTTAGTTGCATGAGGAATTTAATTGTAGATAATGTTCAATAGCTTGCGAAACTAAATGATCTAATCAATATGAGCAGTAAAATTCAAATCGCTGTTGAAAAGGATTCTTACTATCCGTTCTTGTTTGAGAGGACCAAAGTTAGCACTAGGAGAAAGTGAGGACAAGGAAAAAGTCCCATGCCATCCTGTCTTTAAAAAACAAACTGTGTTTAATCATTGTGACATGACTTTTCCCTTCAACTTAAAAAAAAAAAAAAAAAAAAAAATCCTATTGTATAAATTACTTCAAAAGAATGTTAAGGTTCCCAGGTCACGCACTAAAACGTTAATAAATTTCAGAATAAAGATTGCATGTGTGTTTTTTTACACCAGTGCAGCACGTTTATACTAGGTGCAAAAATTCCCAGTATAGCTAAGCCTGTATTTTTAAGAAACATTACACTAGGTGGCGTTTTTGCTCTGGTTTTGGATGCTGGCTTTGAAAAATCAACTGAACTGAACTGAAAGACTTTTGGTAAAATAAGTATGCTAAATTGTCTAGTAGCCATTTGTTTTTAATGTAAAAAACAACCCCCCTATCTCTCTAAAACCCAGCCAATAAATGTTGAATGAACACTTGAAACACACGCTCTTGGTGAATTTTGTCTTTGTAACAGAGATTAACTATTTAAATTAGCACGTCAGTTGTCAGATTTTCTTCTTAAAATCAAGATGTTTGTATATACATTTAATGCAAGATATTTTGAAACACAGATGATGATGATCTCTAAAATCTCAGTGGAATTCAGTCTTCTTAACCCTTGCTGATGTTGGGTTATTTATACCACCTTTATTGTATGGCACACAAAATGATTCAATTCATTCAGCGCAAGTGAGTTTTACTAATAGTCACCTGTGTTAAAATCTCAAATTTTACTTTCTACTAAAATTTGACACTGAAAGTGTTAATCTCTGCCCAGTAAGACTGATCACATGGATTTAACACCTTTGTGTGACAATAACAGAAACTCAGACACAAAATGGATAAACAAAAAGCCTGTGCTTTGATGTATTTGTGATCCAACCCGTTTTCCTACTCTGGAAAGCTGTATTATTTAAACCATTATTTTATTATTATTTGTATTAATTTAGCACGTAGGAGTCCTGGTCTTGGATCTAGAAACCCATTGGGCTAGGCGCTGTTCAAACACAGAACAAAAGATTGACACACTTTGGACAGGCACTATCTTAGAATAAGACAAAAGACAGCAGATGGATACAGGCAGAGTACAAGGAAACAATAAGACCGTTTTGGTGAGCATAATAGACAAGTGGTCTTTGAACAACAGTGTTACAACTATTGTCAGGTTCACCAATATACCAACATAATTATACTGGTATAACTCTGCTAGTGTGATTGCAGTTATACTGGTATAAAGATACTCTATTTTAAGGGAAATAGCTATCCCAGTAAAAGGCTCCTTTATACTAGTATAATGCATGCACACTAGGCTTGTAGCAGTGTAAATATATTGGTAAAAAATCATATAACAGGCAGTTTCACCAGTACAACTTTCAAATATAGACCAAGCCTACACTGAACATCCACAATTCAAGAAAGCTGAAAAGCTTCAACCATGCTGTACTCCTCTGTCAGGGTTTGTGTTGACTGTATATCTTCTCTTGAAACACTTAGGCCTTGTCTACACTACAGGAGGGAGATTGATCTAAGTTGCCCAACTTCAGCTACATGAATAATGTAGCTGAAGTCGTTGTACTTAGATCTACTTACTGCGGGTTCCAAACTACGCTATGTCAACTGGAGATGCTCTCCTGTCGACTCGCCTTGCACTTCTCATTCAGGTGGAGTACAGGAGTCGACGGGAGAGCGATCGGCGGTCAATTTAGTGAGTCTTCAGTAGACCCACTAAATCGACCACCGATGCATCGATCACCTCACGTCAACCCCCCGGTAAGTGTAGATAAGCCCTAAATCTAGAAGACTACAGTCAGGTCTACAGTACAGACTTCTGCTGGTATAGCTATATCACTCAGGAGCTTGAAGAGGTATGGTCCCTGATTGACATAGCTGTGCCAGCAGAAGGCCCTAGTAGAGATGCAGTTATACTGGCAAATCTGCACTTTTGTTTCCTGTGTGGAGGGTGTATTTG